CCCCCTCAGTGAATGAAGAGAAGAAGCTGGAGGAACCTCACTAGAAGGCTTTCAGATGAAATTTATTTATTTATTTATTTATTTATTTATTTATTTATTTGAGCTTTGAAGTGAAGAGACATTAAAGGTCACCTTTTCCGTTTGTGGAAGCAGATTTGCAGCACTCACTACAATGAAGAACAAATGTTTCAAAGGCTCAATTCTAAGACTATTTAACAGATCCCACTCCAGATATTGAAGGAATATGCCACATGGAAGGTCATACATTATGATAATGAAAGTATCAAATGTAAGATAAAATAAGAAGTATCATTTAAAGCACAGTACTTTTTATTTCAGTATTTCTTTATTTCCTTTTTTTTTTAAGTAACAATCATAGATGTTCCTCACCCATCACCTCCCCAAAAAAGTTTGGTGTTTTGGAAAGTTTTGACAAACAGTGCCATAGGTTCACCAAAAATTAAAAAAAACCATCATGAGATGCTCTAAATTGACATGCAAGCTTCCTTAATTTATTTTCTCCTAATTCTAGGGAGAAAATGAGAATTAGACTGAAGCTGCACCTTAGTCACTGGATATTCTTCCAACACCCACCAGGTGTATCTGCAGGAAGTGGGGCTCAAAAAAAGTCAGAATAGTGGCTGAAGTCATGTGTTCAAAGCCCCACCCCTTTTGTGTGTCATGATGCCCATAAAAAGGGGTGGGCTTCATTTATGCATACACCATGTTGACCTTTTTGACCTCCCCTCTGTGGATGGTTCTGACCCCCACAGTACTATCTCCTGCTAAAGAAAGTTTTGCTCTGATCATTAGCATCAAACACCAATCCCCAAGTAATCCTTCTAATCTGTGTCATTACCTAATGCAGAAATGGTCAGTTTTCTACAAAATAAATTTGAAGACTATCCTGTCCTGTGAGAGACAGAAAGCAAACCCTACAGGAGAATCAAATTCCCTCCCCCCCGACAGTACAGAAGGACACATGGTAGGAAAACAAAGTCATAGCTTGCTAGAGCTGTGACCATGAGGAGAAAGCAGGTTTCAAAAGGAAAAAAAAAGATCAGCTAGATACTAGAAGAAAAGGAATCTTTGTCATTTTCTCTCTTCTAGATGAGATAACAAAGACAGAAACATAACACTGCCAAAAATTAACTTGTCTGTAACCTTGGAAAACAACCACCTTCTATTCTTAATCACAGAGAGAAATAGAAACCTAGGTATCACCACAGACTGAGTCCTACCTCCTCAGTGAAGGTACTTAAGACACTGGGTGTCTTAAAATAGGCTACAAAGTGGGGAGGGACAAAAATATAGGTGACTGTGCGATTTTTTTTCTTTTTAGTTTTAAGAGGTTTAAAAGGGAAGTTAGGTATCTCAAACCATCTAACCCTTTCACCCCTTAACCCTCTTCCTGGCATCTTGGCCATGCCCATTTTTGGAGGGCAGACCAATGTGCTATGCAAAGCCTCAAGCTGATAAAAGTTATCCTCTCTTGTCTGGTCTGGATCTAGTGAACTTTATTGGAGTTTGGTAGCTTTTCATGACCTTTGGGATCTTGGTGGTTGTCTCATGGAGCACCACTGAACTGTTTCTCACATCTGTTGAAGGAGCTACTACCAAGCTCCTCATTGATCCTTTTTACTCAGATATGTTCCTGAATCTTCATGGACAAAAAAGTCAGTGAGATTATTAATTCTTCCTATGAAGCCATACTTCACATTTCCTACATTCTCTACAATTCGTGTAGTTTTTGATTCTCTTTCCCTTTGAGGAAACTCTTGTTGATACCAATTACTATCTTTGTCCTTAACACTTGAATGGTAACAACCTTGAATCACCTTTTTTTCCAGATAGTTTCTTCTCAACCACTTCACTACCTGCTTATCCCAAAGTAGACTTCAATTTCTCCACAAGCACCTGGACCCTCTGAACCACATTCCATGGGCTGGAGTCTGACTTAAAACTTTTCTCCAGATCAGTGTCCAAATGGTGGGTCAGGTCCATCACATCAATCACCAAAGTATTTAAAAAAAAAAAAAAAAAAGCTTTCCCCACTCTGGTACTATCCAGATGGGCTGAGATTATAACTCCCAGAGTTCTCAAGAAGCATGGCCAAATGCATCTGGAGAGGACCAGATTTGGGGATGGTCCAATATACATGAAATGCTCTTCTGAAGATCAGCTCTAATAGCTCTCTGGTGAGAGATGTCTTCCCCCAAGTTACTAATTATAATAAGTACAAAAATAACAACATTTTGAAAACACATAGGCTAATATATTGGTGTCATCTTTCACAGCAAAATGTTATCAAAAGTGTTTTTTCTGCCTTCTCAGTACTCATCAATAGATATAAAGCAATGGCACTTGTATTTTCAATTATGAACACCTACAGGTTTTCTAATTATTTCAGATTTTGCACTCCAGTCTTAACCCTACTTATTTTACCACTCTCAAATACTGCTTTAAAATCTGCACACTCCTACCATTGATCAAGGTAAATGCAAAGTTATCAAGGGGATTATTAGAAATGGTGAACAGATGTTTCCTTCCCTTTTTTGATTTCAGAGTTTTTGCAACTGACATATCTACAAAGCATGTTTGCAAGCAAACCTTATTTTGACTGAGTGAATCATTCCTTAATCTCTGTTTGTTCTTCTGCAATTTACTTGGCATCATCTTCCCTGTCCTGAAGTCGAAACTGCTGAGGTCAACCGTGTTCCCCAAGTATCTGGCCAACTGGGGCTTGCTTCGGAACTTCTTCCCACTTGGACTGCAAATTTATAGAAGAAAACAAGAAAATGCTTTATTACGAATTCATCATTCAACGCAATGAGTCCTTTTCAGACCACTAAATAAAATGGGGAAGGTAACAGCCCCAAAGAGTTACAAGCAGCATTCTAGATTCTATTGAGGCATTGACACAGATAGCCTGGGGCTGGAATCTTATAACTCCCAGTTACAACCAGATCATGTACTGAATTTACTTTGGAATATCTGAAGATTTACACCCTTCTTTGGTTACAGGGTCCCGCCACTTCAACGACCATATCACCAGTAGGTAACTAGTATCTTCTAGATGTTTAACTATTACTTCCACAGTCCTTTACCATACAGGCTGAGGTTTGATGGGAACGTAAGTCCAAAATATCTGGATCTATTCATGGCCAGTATGGACAACCAGTGGCCCAAATCTTGCCTCCAATCAACTTCCATAGCAATACATACATCAGTGTTTCTCAACCTTGGCATCTTTAAGCTGTGTGGACTTCAACTCCCAGAATTTCCTAGCCAGCATCCTGGCTGAGGAATTCTGGGAGTTGAAGTCCACACAGCTTAAATTTGCCAAGGTTGAGAAACATTGACATACACACATGCATGCTTTGCTTATGGAAACTCAGGAGCTTTGAGAACCACTCTAGAAGTTTAGTTTATTCTTCAGTCTTCTCTTAGGCCTACCAGTAGTCGAGTTCATATATCACAATATGCCATGAAGAGGTTTCATTGGATGTAATGGCATGTGGGAATTACCTTTGGACTGGGGTGGAGGGGGAAGAGATTCTGCCTAGGGAACAATCAGATAAGCAGGGAGGAGCCCATGGATGCATAACAGGCAGAGAAAGAAACTCAGAAAGGAACCTCCCTAACTTTGATAAGAGATGGAGGGAGATTTGTACTTTCTGACTTGCAAGATTCTGTTAATATAGCCTTACAATAAAGTAGAATTAGCTCATCTGGTTGGGTTTCCTGTCTGGTCTACCTGGGAAGGCTGACATTGGGGTTGGCTTAGTGCATTGCAAGAACCCACCCACTATGGCTTAACATTAACTACAAACCAGACACTTACAGTTTGGTCAATAAACTGTGTTCTTTAAACAATCATGTCTTAGCAGTGTGTGCCAAGCAATCAATGAGGTGACAGTGTAAGCACACAGGTATATCATCACACTCCAGATCTGTGAAGCCTTCAATGCTTACCTGACTATGGCTCAATGAAAGGCAACTGTATATGCTCCAGATGTTTGGGATTGCAACTTCCACCCTCATTGCAAATAATCAGATCATGAGAGTGATGGTCCAAAACGTCTGGAACGCACAAGTCATTTATGCTGCTATGACCAGCCATAAAGAGGTTCTGTTTCACAGACCTCTAGCTTACTCCCAAGATGGAGTACATCTGTGATGGAGGACATAGATGAGGAGGTTCAAGGTCATGGGGAGAAGCATCTCCTCAGCCCACAGACTGAGCGTGTGAAAGCAAAGAGGATGAGACTGGTACCACCCTAGGAAATTCATAGTATTTAGTTGCAGACTTTGAGAGTTAGAGTTAGTCTGGTGAGATTCTGTCTAGCAGGTGCAAGCTAATAAAGAACAGAGCAATTCCAGAACTGTCTCGTGGAGTTTCTTGGGCTGGACCCGACAAGACCATGCCAACCCTGCTTTGATTCATTGTCCTTTCCAAGAGTTCCTTGGACTTTGGACCCTAAACATTCAATTGGTGTCACAGCAGTTGATTAATGCTCCATTAGAAATGGGTTTACATAATGTCTTTACTTATAACTTCCCTGCACTCTATGTCATACTGCTTATCCTGAAAGGGAATAGCATGATGGGTGTGTATGTGTGCATGCTGGGTTCACCCTGGTTTCTAAAAGGAACCACAGTGTGCAAACAGGAAATGCCTCTCCCTAAAGACTTAGGGAACATGCTGTGTTCCAGTTGCAGGGAGTCCTAGTTAGCCACTATCCACCATGCATGGCTGGGTCCATCCAACTTTTTTTCTACATTCTTGCTCTTCCATTGTACATTTGCACAGGTTTGTTATTCTGATACCAGTAGTGACCCTTTTCTTACAGTGAATGAATTACTGAGTTAGGACAGGAGAAATTCAGGCACCTCTTTCTGCTCAACTAAGGACTTTAGCCAATGGATTTTGGAAAGCCACCATCTCTCCATCTAAGCTATCTTACCAGTTAAGATAGCTGTATCATAGGAAGGAAAAAAAGATACAGAAGGAAATTATTAACATGGCAGGTACACTGAGGGAGTTGAAAACACCATTCTACTTTATTATCCCAAATTCAGAGACAATTTTACCCTACCTACCTTCCAAGAATTTTAGTTTCTTCCACTGCCTCCTTTTCATTCTGACAACAACCCTGCCAGGTAGATCAGGCTGAATAGCAGCAGGAACTGATTCTTAGCTGATGGGGAGGTTGAATTCAAATAGGGTTGCCAGTCAACCCTAAGCTCATGTCAGTTAAAAGAGAGAGGACCTCCATCTCGAGGCTCTAATGTCAAAATCTTGGGCATATGAGGCTCAAAGAAGGGAAGAAGATGAGGTGCTAAAAGGGTCCAGAAAAAAATGGAGAATTTTACACTGGCGTTTCTAAGATCAGATTGAGCTGATCTTCCTTCCCAGGAGTCCTTCTTGAACAGCAGTTTCATGGCTCATGTTAATTTACCCAAGGGATGAGTCAAGATGACCTGTCCTTCCACTGTCTAGTCCAGTGTTTCTCAAACTTGGCAGCTTGAAGGTATGTCGACTTCAACTCCCAGAATTCCACACATCTTCAAGTTGCCAAGGTTAAGAAACACTGGTCTAGTCCAAGCACAATAGGAGATCGATAATCCATGTGCAGTAATCTTTTGCCGTATATTCTTTCTGGAAGGTAGAATGTAGCCTCCCAGTTGCCTGAAAATTGAGCCTTGGTCATATGGGGAAGTCTTATTTGGATTGGCTTCCTCCTGCAGGCACCTGTATAGGACAGGTAAAGAGTGCAACTTCAATAGAAAGCCTATTTTCCAGCTATGTTAAGCATCCATGCTTTCCCTAAATTGCTTGCCAGGACCAATGTCTTGAATATTCATAAGTCAACAAGATCTCCTTTACTCATGCTTTCTATATCACTCAGTTTCTTTTCATTCAGTTATGACGTGCTTAAAAGTGGAAATTTCAAGTAGGAACTGATACCTTAGAAACATGAATTGGTGCCAGGACACCCAAGAATACTTCTGTGGCATAACACCTATGACATCCTGACATCCCTTGTCAAACCTCTGCACTAAATATAAAGCACTTGTTACTTATTTATTAAGCCAATTGATATGGCCATCCATCTACTAAAACGAACTCTGGGCAGCCATATACATTTGTTGAATACATACATACATACATACATACATACTTTACAGCAGTGTTGTCCAAACTCGGCCACTTTAAGATGAGTGGACTTCAACTCCCAGAATTCCCCAGCCAGCATGGCT